CTCACCAGCAGTGTAAAGTGTTCAGCCATCAAATCAGCTTTGACACGTGTTTAACATCAGGAGTAAACGCTTCCCATTAAATAGTGGAAAGAATTAGCATTGTTATACTTCACAGTGCTTTGAGTTAACATCTCTGGCAAATGTTCCAGCTCAATTGGACTATTTCAATTTTTTGCCTGGGATCGGTAGGGGACGAGCTCTTCGTTGTTGCGTCACACATATATGACTTTGATTCTGCTTGTGTTTCATGCTGGCTGAGCTGTGAAGTTGCTTATTCATCAGCAGATAAATCCTAGTGTAGTCCCACTGGCTCTGGCATGTTTAAGACCCTCTCCGGTCAGTCGCACTCACAGGCTGATTAATTGCATCACAGGAGGACCAACATTGCCACGCATCACTGCCTGGCCATTTGCTCAACTTACAATATGAGACGAACTCTCTGGAAATTATATTAACATGCACAAAAAGAGAAATACAGAGATTAAAAAAAAGTAATGATTCCAGAAGGGCTGTTTGAAATCAAAACTTTGCCTTAAAGAAGAAAAATAAGACTTATTTCAGTTAATGATAATTTTATTCAAGTAACAAAAATGTTTTTTTTATGGTTCTAGTTTGTTACCTATAATAACCCTGTTACTGGTAAACAAGCCAAACATCTAGTGTTGTAATCTAACTTTAATACAGTGTGCATTCTTGAATGTCAAAATCACAAACTGGTTGTGCATAGTTGATTTTAAATGATGAAGCTCCTCAAATGAAGTTAGCCTTTGCAAAAGAGGAAGAAATAAGTCACATTATCTTACCAGCTGCAATTTAAAACCAGCAAGCATAACGTGTCGTATTACTCCGTTATCAGAGCTGTAGTCAGTTTAGACGGATTGAATTTGAGCTGTAATCTTGCATCACATGCTCCAGTGGCAGGATGTGCTTCTCCATGTCAGATTTCACTTGCCGTACATTCCCACACTAATTACCATTCCGGAACAAATCCTTGAGTCACCCAACACTCTGGAGTGGTGGTCTGTCATAACAGATCTGCCGTGGAGCCTGTGGAGAGTACAGGACCATGGGAATTAGCTGTAGTAGTATATCAAAATCAATCAATGCTGTTAAATGTTAAAGTCTGCATGAAAACCCTTTAACAACACTTAACAAAACATTTTACTTCCATAACCTGATGCATTTCAAACAAGATATTCAACTAAATGATTTATTGAGAATGTAAATTTTGATTTCATGTTGACTTTAACATTGGCTCCCATGCCAAACAATACTCCCGGTGTGTTTAAAGGGGAAACTGAGCGTACTGACCTTTTGCAGGATAAGTCAAACATTTGTCTGTGTTTAGATGTAGCATCTCTGAGCTGCTTTACACTGATCCTGTTGTCTTCATGCATCCGGCAGTGTCAGATTAGGACACGCTCTGTTTTTGTGCACTACTAATTCTTTTTCCCCCCCTCTCTTGTTGTTTGTCAACAGTTTGTTAAATGTAAACTAAGACTTTAGATATATGGACGGCGCACTATTACTTATGAATGGGAGAAAGTGCAATGCACGATATGGCGGAATAAGCCCCGCCTTCTAAATAAAAGAGCCAATCGCTGATTGGTAAAGTCAGCTGCCGTTAAAAGCTCCGGTTGCTATAGAAACAAACTGGGAGCTTGGTAAATGGATGTGGAGAATTTAATGTCCTCCCATTCAAAGAGATAGGAGCTGTACTTGCATGTTTGATTATATATTCAATTCATTTATTTACAGTATTTATTTATTGGCTCTTTGTATAGCTAAAATGATTATTATTGTTCTCATATGCAAAGCTTTTCCTTTGGTTTAAAGGAATAATTCACATTAGAGCGCCTAAATGATGTACTTTTCAATTGTTTGGATGAGCTGTTCCTTTGTAAGATTTTTAAAAAAAAAAATTTATACAAGCTCTCTCGCTTTAGCTTGCTGTTATAGGCAGTAATGGAAAACCATCGTGCCCTGACAGAAAACAGGCTGATGCTGTCATATGCCTGTGTGGATTTATCTGTGGGAATGAAGTGATTGTGTCTGATTGTAATGTATTTGTTTAGACTCGAGGACGTCGTATGACAGTCCTATCACTGCAATGGCACATTTGCTCCATGGCATGCTGCGATTGCAGCTTTGAGTTCATTTCTCTGGCATCCTCAATTGCAGGGACATGTCTGCTATCTGAATGTCAGCGTAGTCTAAATGTTTTCATTTGCGTCAACTGAAGTACATTGAGCTGCAGATGGGAAACACTTTCTAGAGTATTGTGAAAAAAAGTAAATCCATCTCATGACCTAATTGGTGGTGTGTTTTTAGCAGTTATAAAGTATTGTACAACCTAGCAACCATTCAGAACACCTAGCAACCACATGACAACATGTAAAAAAAAAACAGAACACCGTAGCATGGCAACCACTGACATTTTCTTTAGAAAATGTAGAAATATAGTACCGATCATACTCTTTTTATAGCCCACACTCATGAAAAACCTGGAAATTCAAGGTTTAAATTTGTGTTTTTTCTAGGCCTGGAAAAGTGATTTCCAAAAAAATGTAAAAAATGTACATTTCTGTAGTGAATATGCATTCTTCTTGTCTATAAATCGCTACAATAATAATTGCTCTAATAATTTTCCAATAATCCATGTGGAAAAGTTATGGAAATTCATTGGTCAAAAGGTTTGTGAACCATCTATAATAAAGATGCACTGTTAGTGGTTTTGGGTGAGAGCATCTCCTAAAAGACTAAATGTAAGTGGTTGCTTTGGGGCAAAGAGACGCTCTTGTAATTTTGTTAACAACACTGATTTGCCTTGTCTTGGCATGTGAGGACCAATTTTGAGTTTAAACTGAACTTTAGTTCCTCTTCAAGTTTAACTTCTCTGTTTGACCGCACCTCGTCCTCGAATTCTGCTTCTATTTCTAGATGCTACACAATGTTATTTAACTCAAAACATTAATGAATGGCTTCATCACATCAATAACCGTCATGGAATTTTTATGAAGTTCCTTAAGAATAAAGAAGTGACCAAAAGTTGGGATAATAAGTGGGTGGCTAATAATGAAGTTTTCCAACAATCCTGACTACTGCTGAGTAACATTCTCAGGCTCTTCAGATTTCTCAGGTCACTCTAAGCTGCTTATTGGCACCATGTTCCTCTCACACCCTTATTACCCTTTCAACCAGAGCCAGAAGAGCAGGCGTTAGGAGCACCTGGTTTTGCCTTCAATGATTACAGGTTATTACTTGGTCCACAAATAATTAGACAGACTCGTAGGATATTGTAGAGGAGAGGTATCATTTGCTACCAGCTTTATGACACAATACACGCAATATAATGGCAGCTATTGATGAAATGAAAGTAGCACTTACAAAATTGTTATTTATCTCAAAATGGACAATTATCAACTGCTCTATCATTACTAACATTAGGGGTGGGCAATATGACCAATATGAGAAATTTTATTTCACACTAACGATATATCACAATATAGTTATTATGTGTTATTTGATCTCATTTCTGTTATTAAAAATAAGAAAAGTGAAGCAAATTACAAACAATAGGACAAAAACAATATAACAAAAATATAATTTAAATTTAAGTTTTTCAGGTACAATAGTTTTATTTACCATGTAGTAAGAATTAGTACAGTTATTAAGATATTGCATAGTCTTCACTGTATGAATTAAATATAATTGTATTCTTATTAAAGCGGAAAAAATCAGTCAAGAGCAGTAAGTTATTTTTTCTTTGTTGTTTTATTGTTTGATTCACATTAATGAAACAGAGCAGAACAGTGGCTGCTGTCACTTTAAGATCAAACGCACGGATCCATTATACTGATATATATCCGGTTTACACCCAACTGTTTACAACCCAACATAATTGTGTGTGTGTGTGTGTGTGTATTCGACCATTCAAGTGAAATAAGACGTGAAAAAGAGGTTTCTGTCCACGCGCTTACGCTGTCAGTCAGTGCGTGGACCACATTGAGTTTATTTTCACTACTTATTATTCTTAATAACACTTTTTAACAGAGCACATCCCAAATTCATGATCGCCTTCTGACAAAGGCAGCTTACTTTGGCAGTGTGCCAGTCAACGAGCACCGCACAGAGTTCCTTTTCGGGATATATTGCACTTATAACTCTTTTTAATATCAAGCACCTCCCGCTCTTTGTATTCAGTATTTAATCACTCTGAAGTGCCAATAGTGCTATATTTTTGTTTATGTGGTTAATTTTAATAAGAGTATAGTTGTAACTCTATAAGACTAAATAAAATTTTACCCTTTAAAAATTAGGTTGTTACATTTTTATGCATGTTACGGTTTGTATGGTGCTACCAAACCAGGTGCTAGTATCACTGGTCTTAAATGTTAGTCTGGAGAAGGTTTGTCCCCAGCTGTGTCTACAACATCGAATCTGGCCCTCTTTAAAAAGTTTGGACACACCTAAATAATGGCAAATATTTTTTTATTTCATTATTATTATTTAATATTACTTTAAAAAAATAAAAAACATATTTTATCATATAAAATTAATTTATTATTATTATTAATATAAATTTTTGCCCTTGTATATACATATACAAACCACTTTACAGGATTGGCATAGAAATGGGTCAGTCGGGTCTTGTGACTCTGCTAGTGATAGTATCACCTTCCAAAATCCTCAGACAAGACTTGTTCTGTAATCTTACCCATGTCACGGTATTGCTTTTGATTCCACAATTGGTCTGGTGGCTACTTTCCTTCTCTGTGTGTCTTAAGGCAGACTTGCTTGTTTGCATTTCAGTTTGGCCCTTTATTTGGAAAATAAAGTACAAGAGGCATTTCTAAAAACACATTGTGCCCTTTCTTGTTTTAATTTTTTTAAGTTTTAAATGATATATCTTTTGCATCATTGCACAGTTGAGCTATTATGATGTTGAAACATTTATATGTTAATACCCATGGGATTAATACCCATTTTCTCTTTTCCAGATGCAGCAGCTGTTCTATGAGAATTACGAGCCAAACAAGAAGGGCTACATCCGTGATCTCCACAACAGCAAGATCCACCGGGCCATAACCCTTCACCCCAACAAGAATCCTCCATATCAGTATCGCCTGCACAGCTACATATTGAGCCGAAAGATCGCTGAGCTGCGCCACCGCACCATCCAGCTTCACCGCGAGATTGTGCAGATGAGCCGCTACTGCAACACTGAGGTGCACAAGGAAGACCTCCAATTGGGCATGCCTCCTTCGTTCATGCGCTTTCATCCCCACCAACGTGAGGAGGTGCTAGAATGGGAGTTCCTCACGGGCAAGTACATTTTCTCGTCCTCGGACGGACAGCCTCCACGTCGAGGCATTGACTCCTCACAGAAGATGGCGCTGGACGACATCATCATGCAGGTAATGGAGATGATTAACGCCAATGCCAAGACCCGAGGTAGAGTCATCGACTTCAAAGAGATCCAGTATGGATACCGAAGGGTTAACCCCATGTACGGGGCAGAGTACGTACTGGATTTGCTGCTGCTGTACAAGAAGCACAAGGGGAAGACCATGACGGTACCCGTGAGGAGGCATGCTTATCTTCAGCAGACCTTCAGCAAAATTCAGTTCCTGGAAGATGAGGAGATGGATGCCCGAGTGCTGGCTGCTAGGATCAACCAGGACTCAGACTCGCTGTCCTTCTTGTCCAACTCTCTCAAGATGCTTGTCCCTTTCAAGCTGAGCGGCCCAGGCGTCGAACAGCACGAACCCAAAGAGAAGAAGATCAACATCCTTGTGCCGCTGGCGGGACGCTACGAAATCTTTGTGCGCTTCATGGCCAACTTTGAGAAGATCTGTCTCATTCCCAACCAGAACGTCAAGTTGCTGATTCTTCTTTTCAGCACAGACAACAACACAGAGCGCATTAAGCAGATTGAGCTCATGAGAGAGTATCGTATGAAGTATCCAAAAGCCGATATGGAGATCAAGCCGGTTTCTGGCCCTTTCTCCCGTGCTCTGGCCCTGGAGGTCGGCTCGGCCCACTTTACCAATGATTCCTTACTCTTCTACTGTGACGTGGACTTACTGTTTACTCCCGACTTCTTGACCAGATGTCGTGGGAACACCATACTTGGGGAACAGACGTACTTTCCCATCATCTTTAGCCAGTACGACCCAAAGGTTGTCTACGCGGGCAAGGTGCCCAGTGACAACCACTACGTGTTCACATCCAAAACGGGCTTGTGGAGACACTACGGTTTTGGGATCGTCTGTGTCTACAAAGGAGACTTGGTCAAAGCAGGTGGCTTTGACGTCTCAATCCAAGGTTGGGGACTGGAGGACGTGGACCTCTTTAACAAATTCATCCAGTCCGGGATCAAGCTGTTCCGCAGCACGGACACTGGCATCGTGCATGTCCACCACCCCGTGGTTTGCGACCCCAACCTAGATCCCAAGCAGTACAAAATGTGCCTGGGCTCCAAAGCATCCTCGCACGGCTCCACGCAGCAACTTGCCGAGCTGTGGTTGGAGAAGAACAACCACGGCTTCCAAAAGATCTCAAACTCTAATAACGAATCAATGAGGACAGAATAGACCCTGCAAGCGCACACCCATCTGTCTTCCTCTTTATGGTGTTTTTTAACTACCTTATTTATTTTTTACAGAAAAGACTTCTGTGGATATATTTTGAAATAACTTGTTTTGTAAACTGTACAGGAGCAGGAAGACACCTTCAGACTCGATCTTTTTTTTAGCAGCATTACCGATTGTTAAAATAAGGAACACTGACGTAAGAGGAGCAACAACGAGAGATCTATTTTACGAATTTAATACTGAGCATTATATTTATGGCACCTCACGGACAGACTGCTGTGTACCTCACCGGAAAATGTGTCGCAATGGAGTTGAAGAAGGAGTTTGGTCATGGACATGTGGTGTCTGGCGAATGGTAAATGTTTATTTGTGAATGTTTACAGAGAGCTTTGAACAAGTGATTGATACTTGGGAAAGGGGATCTATAAAATAACAATCTTAATTGTGACAATTAAGGGCCATTGATCAAAAGTTTCATTTTTTTTCTTTTTCGTTTATTTTTTTCAGTTTATTTGTCTGGGGGGGATCCATAATATCACTGTTTTGTTTCCATTGATTTTGATTTATTTTATTGACTTCTGTGAATGAAACTGCTGGATGTAGATCTTTCCAACTCATTCCCACTGTCTAATTTATTGAACGTTCAGTCTCGTATGATATCGGACTGAGGTTGTGTACATTTAGAGATTGTATAACCGTCTGTCATGGATAGTGTTTTCGTTCCTGTACGTTTTCCTCTCTCTATCTCGAATTACTTTGATTACCAAAGACTTTTTTTGCACAGTTGCTGTAGGTGATAATTGTTTCGAGCGTGCTTGTGTATGTGTGTTTGCGTGTATGTGTCTGTCCGAACACAAGGAGGTGGAGCAGGAAAAACACATGAATTGTACTATAGGATGCAGGTACCAATGACCAGATTTCTATTCTGCACAGCTCTATGAAAGTATGTCGACAACAAGCCACTTAACAAAAATGATGGAAACTCTTTTCTCATTTAATTTGATCCGAGTTTGTTTGCTCCTGTTCGTTATTTAATTTTTTTTATACAGTTGCATACAGGCCATTCTCTTGTGATCGAGCCATGCACTCCACAGGGAAATCGGCCTAAACCGCCGCCTCGCCTTCTGATGTGAGGACCAATCTCCCACAGTAGTCGTTTCAAATTTTTTCTTCTTCTTTGGGGAGTTTTCATACTTCAGTTCTCTGTTAGCCTCCATACAACTGGGACAAATGTTTTATATTTAATAAAATGTTTATCAAAATTGTGTTGCATGATGTTTTGATTTCTCAACCAAAATGAACCATGCCTTTTAGGTTTTAGCCCATTCGTTTGCCTTTTAAAGCTGCTTATTAGATCTTCCAAATGCAGTGAAACAACTTTTAAAGGAATGTTGCAGATTCAGAACCAGTTGAGATCTATCATCAGCATCTGTGGTGTGCTGTCGAAACCCAAAAACAAACAGATGCGCAATGGATGTCTATGTGGCAAGAAAATCAGGGTTTCAACGTGATTGTATTTTTGTATTCTATCTGAATCATCCTTTTTGCAGTGAAACGACTCTTCAAGGACTATGAACATTTAATGCATTTAGCAGATGCTTTTATCCAAACGACAAGGACAAAAATGTTGTATTTTGTATAAGTGTATTTTTCTCCATATAAACAGTCCCTTACTGTTATCATTTCCAATATCTCGCAAAATTTTCCAGGTTTACTGGCTTTACGTCATCATGACATGATTGAATTGGTGATAAAACAATGTTTTCAATAGCTTAAAGTGGCCATATTAAGCCCTTTTCAAAATCTTGATTATGGTTTTGGGGTCTACTAGATTAGGTTTTCATGCTTGAATGTTTTACAATTTTACATTGTCTCAGTCGGTCTGTAATGCTCGGTTTAGTTCCAATCTGTTTGAAGCTCCTTCTTCTGAAAAGCGTCGGCTGACACAGTTGTGTTGTGATTGGTCAACCGCTTTGATCATGTTTTAGAAATGTCAAGCCCCTTACCATACCACGAGATTCAACACGATACTAACACATGCATTGGGTGGGAATTATTTAAATTATTTAAATTTTGTGACGAGTACGTTTCCAGAAGAAAACTCAAGATAACCTCAAGATGAGGTTTTTCAGGGAGTTCAGAAACGGTGCTTACTGATATAGAGAATAACTCCCTTTGGAATGACTGTTTTGGAACATTGAAGACATTTTCATGCTCAACTATAAGAAAATGACTGAAGTATTTAATAATTTACCAGAGAAAAATTATATGTATATATATATATATATATAAATGTATATATATACTTTTTTTTTTTTTTTTACTTCCCAAGTTGTGACCAGGTAGTAGAGTTCTAAAAAGGAATGAATGGTGGCCGGCAAACATTCCAGGTAATTAAATGAGGCCCCAAAACTGCAGTGGGCAACAAGCCTCACCTTCATGAAACGCCTGAATCGATTTACCTTTTCTGCTGTTGACCGTTACTCAATTTAAAACAAATAAGCTATACCTTCTTTTTCTCCATGCCACAAAATCAATGCTATCAGGAGAATTTATTCTGTTCTGTATGGGTTTTGATTTAAAACCTTGTGAGCTCTCTATGTAGTCTACATTTTAGTGCATCATGGTTGCTAATACTCAAAAACCTGTTCCGAGACAACGACTGTATTTGTTATAAGATCACCTCTTTAGTCAAAATTTACATTTCATGTGTCCTTAACAGAACATTTTCCCATTGCAAAAAAAGTTAATGGAAAAAAATCAGTGCAAGATGGCAGATGAACCGAGAGGTATGTTGATTATAAATATGATAAATATTTTAATACTTTTTATGGTTGATACTCTAACTCTTCATCTATCTCTCATTGGTAAGTTAGTGACATGCTAACTTTGAACTCGACTTGAAACCGAGAAGCACAACCGTTTGGTCTTTATTTTGAGGACCAAAATGGTCTCTTATGTCGTTTTCGGTTCAGGTTCATGGAGCCTCAGTAGGTAGCAAGAAGCTCACTAGGTTTTGGAACAGAGCCCATTCTCAGATGTTCCTATCTGAGAGTGAATTCTAATATACTTTGTGTTTTTTTTTTTTTTTTTTGATGAAGTTTGAGTCACAGCACTTTTTCAGTCCTGTGCGATTGTGCACCTTCTATAGCCGACTGATTCAGCAGATATTCCAGTGAGCTGCCTGTGTTTTGTTTGACCCACTGATCCTGATATTCCTCCTCCAGTGGCCCGTTTCACACATGAGGAATGTTATTTTAAAGGTGTGTGTTTGTGGAATGAGCAGGTTTAGTGGTTTTGCTTGAGAAACTGAGTGGAGTTCTTGTCTGTACTTGAATATCTGTGGGTTTTCGAACCAAGTAAACCATGCTCATTTAAATACATTTATTTTCTTTCTCAACATTTGGCTAAAACCAACACAGTAATACCATATTGAGTATAAAATGTCTTTTGTCATTTATAAGGTCAATAAAGTGCTGATTACTGATATTAAATATCAGTGCTGTTATATATTGTTAGACTTGTTTGAATAAAGAAACAAGCCCTCTGAGAAGCCATGCATTACGGTGATTTTACCATGATGCAAAATTGTTTCCTTTTTTTGTTAACGCAAAAATCTAATCAGCCAATCACATGGCAGCAACTCAATACATTTAGGCATTTAGACATGGTCAAGACGATCTGCTGTAGTTCAAACTGAACATCAAAACGGGGAAGAAATGTGATTTAAGTGACTTTGAAAGTGGCATGGTTGTCAGTGTCAGACAGGCTGGTCTACTGAGATTTTCATGCACAACCATCTCTAGGGTTTACAGAGAATGGTCAGAAAAAGATACATTTTCCAGTGAGTAGTAGTTCTGTGGGTGAAAATGCCTTGCTGATGCCAGAGGTCGGAGGAGAACGCCAGACTGTTTCGAGCTGACAAAAAGGCAACAGTAACTCAAATAACCACTTTTTTACAACTGAGGTCTGCAGAAGAGCATCTCTGAAAACACAACACGTCAAACCTTGAAGCAGATGGACTACAGCAGCATAAGATCACTCCGGGGAACACTCCTGTCAGCTAAGAACCGAGAACTAAGGATAAAAATGTGCATGGGCTCACCAAAATTGGACAATAGAAGTTAGTGAGACCTGCTGCAACATTCAGATGGTAAGGTCAGGATTTTCTGTGTGCAAGTGATGAGCCAATCAGAAACGAGGATTCAGTCAGACCGTGGTATGCATGTGTTATACACCCTTAATATGAAATGTTTGGTTAAATTTTTGATGATAACCACAGTGGTTTTATCTTATAAACAACCATTCAATAAGTACATCTTCAACCACAGCCCATCAAACCTCCTGTAAAAGAGTCTCATGATATTCTTTCTAGACACATCCTGCTGTTTAAAGAGCTGATAAGCTTTAGATTTCATGGAACAAACTCCTGCTTTGTAAATAAGTTTGTGTTTTGCATAGCAGTCGATGTGTTTATTGATATGATGGTAACAAACATGCCAGGACTAAAACTGAATGCCGCCTTTGTTAGATTGCCATCTCCAACACGCCTTTAATGAAGCTTCTTTTTTTTTTGCATGAACATGAATTTGCAATATTATGTTGTTCATATTCCGGTCCTGAAGGGTAGATTTGCTGACCAGTGTGAAACTGAAAGGTTTAATGTGCTTTAAGCCAAAGGACCTGAAACCAAAGTAATAATCGTGGCTGGATCTTGTTAAGTCTCGGTTGAACAGCATGCAATTGGTTTTAATGTGAAATGGTGCTGTGTCATCACCTGGCTTTCAAAAAGACCAAATATTAACCAGCCATGATTTTTTTTTCCTGGCATGTTGCTGCCAGTCTTTGGCAAGACTATCTGGCTTGACTTACCGTACAGATTTCTGCTACGAGGAGGATGTGTTTAGAAGAACAACTTAACGGCTAAATTGCTAGTTTTTAAAGTCCTTTACTGACACAACTGGTTCTGATCTGTATCAAACCAAGACTTTTATTTCTTTGGTGGTTTTTGAGGATGATGTGGCCAAATAGTTAAACATCCTAGAAAGATTTAGTGAAAATTGACAAATGGTCCTCACACAAAACTATCATTTCTTCAGTCTTAAAAATAAAAGTTTTAAAAAGGTTTTTGTTGCAGTGCTAGAAGAACCATTTTTGGTTCCCCAAAGAACCTTGCTTTTTTTCCTTAGTGTGGAGAACATTTTGAGGATTAATCAGATTCCATGGATTTTAAAGGTTCTTGGAACCATAAAGAACTTTTATTTTGTTCATACAATTTGAGAATCCTTAGATGGGCTGTACTGTGTTATATGTTAAATTGAAAAATCTTTAGATAATATTTTCAGATAAATTAGTAATAGTTGGTGTTCATTCACAGGCTTTCAGTTCAACATTACGATAAAATCTCCTCATTCAGTTTGTTTAGATTCAAACATGACCTAAAGTAGCCTACTGATAACTGAGTAGCCTACGCTGTTAACTCTATAATTATTAGTTCATCTATTTCCACAACTTTCCCCCATTCAGTTTGGCTGTTTGCAAACATAAGACACTGGTTATTATCACATTGAGAGGATAATGATCCAGCCACGGAGGAGGCAGTCACGTGACTCTTGCTTTCGTCTCACGTTCCTCCCTAATATTTATCTGCAGGTTAGAGTAATTGGCGTGCTAAAAGGCAGTGATATTCCGAAAGGTCTTTACAATTGGTCGTGAAAGCTGCCTCCTGTTAGGATGTGGGGTAGGGTTAGCGCTTAGTTTCTGTTGAGTACCCTTTGGCTCGCACCTACCTTTCAGAACGCCCATTACTTTGACCTGCAGGCTGCAGCTATCCCTGTCTCCTTACGTTCCCTGCACGCGGCACAGCATCTCTCTGATCTTTTCTATTGGTTAATTCAAAGTCCTTCCCACACTATTTAATATAACGTTTAGAAATATTTGTTGTTTTTTGGAATGGAAGCCCATTTCCGCCACATAAAAAAAAATACATGCCTTGTTTAATCTTAATTATGACATAAGTAGGCTAATAATTATGACTTTTATGTCAAATGACAAAAAGTTGAGATTATGGCATAAAAAGTCATAATTATGGCATAGCCTAGTTACAATTATAAAAGTCGCAATGATGACAACTATGAGAAAAAACAGTCCAACTTGCTATGCCATAATAATGGCAGAAAGTCATAATTTCATACAGTATAGGCTACTTTTAAATTTCGACTTAGTAGCTATAATTGACTTTAATTCATAATTAATTTGGACT